GAGAGGGTGTGTCCCACTAGGGAAATAGTGTATTCCAGGCACTTGAATTTCCATGTGTAGTATGGATCTCTCTGTCTGGTTTGAGCGTGATGGTAGGTTTCCACCATCTACCTATCTAAACAAAAACAATTTGAGAGGAGTGATTTTGTGAAGACTGTGGAGCATGACAGCTTTAATTAGATGGGCAATCCATTCAGGCAGAATTCCATGAGCAGCATGGAGCCAGCACTGTAGAGTGACATTTGCACTCCAAGACATTATCCTATATAAATGAAGGCTGTTGTTGCAATTATATCTAGAACCTAACAAAGCAGTTGCAGATTGTCATGTTAAAGCAAGAATTTCAAATTGAACATCACCCGACAGAAAAGTTAGTTAAATTAAACCTAAAGTTGTCTTGAATTAAATTAAGTGAAAAATGTGAAGTAATTTTAAAGTGAATAATCAATAGGCACAATTCTAAGATATCACAGCAACTTTTAAAATTGGTCCATTGTGCTGTTCAGGAATGATCTGGTTCAATATTAAATATCTCTGATGTATGGATCCTTAATCTGGTTATAATCTGGCTAATATTCATGTTTAAAGATAGTCTGAAACAATAATTAAAGTGTTTCATCCCTTTGGCAGGGAAACCAGGGTAAAATCTGATGCAAAAGGAGTACTTATTGTTTACAACAATATGCATCGTGTCCTTTAGCAATATTTTAAAATGTTGGTTGACTGCAACTTCCAGCAATAAGCAGCTGCTAGGATTCACCATAATTAAGCAGTCTTTCATCTAAGTTAATTGTACTCTGCTACAATTTAGATTTAATTCTACAATAGGTCAGGGTAACCAACATTTTGTGCTTGAGAAATGTTCACACTACATTGTGAACTGATATGATGTGGGTCTGCTCTCCACATGACAAACTCCAGACTTAATCATTCCATTGTGGAAAGTTGGATTATGCAGGAGGAAACTAAAATACAAGCACAATAGGTCCAGTAGAGTCATTCTAAAATATAATTTACCTGCTTTAGCTACCAGCCTGGTTAAGTTAGGAGTACCTTGGCTCTGGATCAGATGATTGCAGGTTCCATATCAAGACTTGAGCTTGTGACCCAGGCGAACACTCTTTTGCAATACTGGAAGGAAGGGAGATCTGCATCACCGAAAGTGCATCCTTCAAATGAGAATTTAAGTTGAGGTCCTATCTGCCTCAATGTTTGTCATTCACCGTGAATTTGGGACAATGTTGTGCATAAATTGGCTGACGTGTTCATCTACAAAACACACAGTCACTACATCAAGGAGGAACTCCCTTCTCTGCTTTATGCCATGGGATCTTTAGCACTGCCTGAAAAGCAGACAGGACCCCAGTTTAACATCGCATCCAAAGGACAGCACCGGCAACAATGGAGCACACGTTCATCCTTGATTACAAGTTTAAAGTCCTAACATGGGGCTTGAACCCACAACAACAAAATACAACAACAACAAAATTACATTTATAGAGTGCCTTTCACATCAGGAGGACGTCCCATCATGATTCTGAGACCAGAGATCTTCCAACTGAACTGGGCTAACGCCATCCTCCCACATTACATAAATTATGTCTGCTGAAGTATTCCAAAAGGCAGGAAATCTTTCAAATTAAAAAAAAGTATATTTAATGAAGACAACAGTCTATAGTAAACCTTCTCAGTGATAGGAATAAAAAAATCTTAAGCTAATTTTAAATCAGGTAGTTGTCGAATTGGGTATTATTGAAGGCTTTGTCAAAACAATCCTTAAATACTATAGTTGAGATTTATTCAGCCTTTACTGTACTGTTTTAATGATTGTGGTAAGGTTTCAGGGAATTAGTGACCTAAGCCTCTTTGTGGGGGTATTTATGACAATGAAAAACAAAAAGGATGAAGGAAATGATTTTGCTGGGATATGAGGTAAGAGTGGGCGAGTGGGACGAGTTGGAACTCTTTCAAGAAGCCGGCACAAGCACGATGTCCTCCTTCTGTGCTGTAAGATTTTATGATTGTATGATTTTGTACTCCTTGGACAGAATTGACTTTCAGACAAACTTACCAACAGGCACTTACATCACTTTAACACTTAGTTTATCAATTCTCAACACATAAAAAGTAAATTTTGTTGACTTGATATTAACCGTGGAAATGCTCAAATGACCACAGGCAGCTCTTTAGTTTTTTTTTCAAGTTCTAGAAAATAGGTCAATGGTGTTGGCTTAGGTTAATCTAAACAAGCAATGGCTAAATACGTAACATAACTAAATGTTGCAATCTCTGATTCCGTTAGATTTAGCATGAAACACATCAGTTTGACTGAGCAATCCTGCCTGAAAGAATATAACAATGACTTGCACTTATATAGCGCTCTCCGTACAGGGTAGCGTCTCAGAGCGCTTAACAGTGGCAGAGCCTGACTTTGAGCCATGGGGAGGGGGCGGGGGAGGTGGCCATAAGCACAGTCGAAGAGGAAAATTTTCAGGCGAGACTTGAAAGAGGGGGCAAGGTGGAGGGATTGAGGGAGAGTGTTACAGAGTTTGGGGCATAGAGGCTGAAAGCGCGACCTCCAATGGTGAAGCAGAGGGTGTGAGGGACGAGCAGGATGCACCCAGTTCCAGTCAAGCAGAGGTGCCGAGTGGTGGACTGGGGAATGAGGAGGTTGGAGAGGTAGGGAGGTACCAGGGAGTGAAGGGATTTGAATACGAGTGTGAGGATCTTGAAGTCGATCCATTTGTTGATGGGGAGCCAGTGGAGCCTGGCCAGAACTGGTGAGATGTGGGTATGGAGTTTGGTCCAGGTCAGTATGTGGATGGCAGAGTTTTGAATGAGCTGGATTTTTTGAATAATGGAGCTGGGGAGATCGGTGAGGAGTGCGTTTGAGTAATCCAGGCGGAAGGTGACAAGCACATGCACAAGGGTTTTGGCTGCATTTGGGGTAAGGTATCAGAGGTGGGCAATGTGGCAGAGGTGGATAAAGGCAGTCCTGGTCAGGGAGAAGATGTGCGGGAAGAAGGACAGCTGGGGGTCAAACCAGACTCCTAGATTGCGTACTGATTCGATGAGTCTGAGCCAAGACAAGCTGACAGAACATCGGCAGACCTGGAGTCAATACTGGAGGCAAAGTAGATTTGTGTCATCTGTAAACATGTGGAAGTTTATCTGTGGCTATGGATGACAAGCTGAAATCAAGTGGATTCATTCTGAAAGAGTTAAGCGAATTTCATCATTGTCAGCCTGGCTCAGGCTTACCAAAAGGTCATTACTGCAGGTACAGAAACAGTACAACCATTTGAAAAAGAGCACATGGGCGCAATATTTAATAATTATTGCACTATTATGCTTTTGTTGACCTGGGTGCCTGCTATCAAATTAGTAGCATGTACAAAATGGCTCCTTTGATTGACCAGGGATTGAACCCAAGGATGGGATGAGGATCTTGCCTCATGAATGTCAGGAAAGTCCATATTTACTTGGATTTATTCATTCAGCAGAAGCAAAAATGCTGCATGAAGAAAAACAACTGCTGGTGGTCCCTTCAAAGGGCAATTCACTTCGGCTGAGCTAATACTTTTCCCCCTGAATCCCAGACACAATCGGCATCAGGGCTATATACATGTGCAAGATGTTCTTGACACAATAGACAGGCATATGGGTTGTGCTTTTTGATTCTGTCTCAGGCTTTGTCAATAATAGATATTACTAATGGGATCTGCATAAGAATTCCACTTGTTTTGTTCTTTTCTTTAGGACATTCTTTTCAGTCACCATCGGATACCAGCAAAAAACATGCAAGTTGTGGCCTTTGGGAAGCTGTGTAAATTGTAACCTGTATATTCAGATTGTAGAAGCCTTTCCTGTTCATGTTTGACAATGGACATATGGATGCAGCGCAGTGGATGGAATTCTCCTGGACAAAGTCCTTTTTTTTTAAAGTTAGGGACTGATCAATATTTGTTTCTTTTGATGTTACCATACCAGTTGAGTCTCAGCCAGTGTGTATACAATCACTGAACACTTGGAAAAAAAGATTATAAAAAATAATTTCTGTCAAATTGTTCTGATTGAATTAATTCAAACTTGATCTCCCAACTGGTGTTCAGATACAACTGCTTGGTGATCTGTTCAATGGACAACAAAGTGTCTGCCTCCTATGTTCCACCAGTCTTTGGAAGAAACCAGTGATGTAGAAGTTTAAAACGACCATAAATAGGAAGTCCACAGACAACACTGTGTAAGCATCAAAGCTAACCTTATGAGGCCTTGATATAGCATCGGAAGTCAGAGAAGATGCCAAGAAGCTGACAAAGGTCACATTGACACACCATGTTTCTGGTTTGCTCCCAGCCTCTGCAGTTGCATATGCGAAGTGTCAAGTTATTTCAGCCCAAAGACTGTGCTAACTTCCAAACATTACTGCAGTACCACAAATTCTGCAGATGAATAACTACATAGAGTTAACCTTTAAGCAGGAGAAAAAAAAAATCAGCCAAAAGAATGATCCAAGTTTTCTTGGGAGTCCTGTAGCTCAGTAGTCAGAGCGCTCGCCTCAAGCAAGACCTGGGTTTAATTCCCGGCAGGGCTAAATGTTGGGCAAGTTTCCTTACTCCACATGCCTGTTTACCTAGCAGTAAGTAGGCACCCAGTTAGTCGACTGGCTGATCGCTTTTCCGGTGGTAATAATATCTTCAAACAAAATAATAAATTGGCCACTTCAATCCATGACCATGTGGGATACTGCTGTGCGCAATTGGCTGCTGCATTTTGTCCACAAAATACAGTTAATTCACTTCACAGTATATTCTGTGAAGCGCTTCGAGAGGTCGCGAAGATGTGATAAGGTGCTATATCAAATGCAAAGATTATTATTACTATTCTTTACTGACAGTGTGAAACCAAGACTTTTTTNAAAATATATTGGTTTACCATTATAATCAAATGTAAGTCTAATTGTCAGAACAAAAAATGCAGTAAAGATCCATAACTCAATAGCAAAACATTTTAATTTTACACGAAGAGCTAAAACAAAAATTAAACCATACAGAACATAGATCTTTGTCTCCTTAACAAAATCTACAAATATAATTACAGCACCAACTAAAAAAATTCTGTACAGTCAGGAAAAAAAAACTACAAAAAACATTAAATATTGCACTTGGTTTCTAGAACATTTTGGATTTTTTAAAAAAAATTTTGTTCCTAATTTTTAAATCAGGAAAATACTGGACAAAGTCCTTTTTTTTAAATTAGGGACCGACCAATATTTGTGTTTTTTTTAAAAAAATGTTGCCATACCAGTCGAGTCTCAGCTTATACATTTATATCTGCTGTACTGAGAACTTCATTCAATAAACAGAACTCAAGATTTGAAAAGCAAAAGAAAAACAGAGCCGTCATTAGTATTGACCAGCCATCTTTGGCTGATGAAGAGTGCAGAACAGCAATATTGATCGATCCCTTTTTTATAGATCTGTATTTTTATATAGAACTGAATTAGTTTTCTCACCTGCTGCAGACGTGAGTAATTGTTGATCCCTAGTTTTCTTGGAAACAAAAACAGAAAAAAGGGGGGAAGTGGAGAGGGGTTTGCCCAACTGGAAACACCAAATGCCCCATTATGCCAACGACCCCAAAAAAGTTTTGTAAATCAAGAGCACTCGCAAAAATGCTACGGAACTTCAAAATGACCTTTTGGATTCCACAACGTAACAGAACACAAAACAGGGCACGAAGCGGATAAAGTCAAACCCTCCTGTGTAACTATTCCATTTTTGTGCTGCACATTTGCCACTATAGAATAGCAGACTTCAGTCAAATTTGTATTCTTTAAAAAAAATAAAGGCCACTCGTGGAATAAGACCACTTGTACTCAGTCGTGTGACTGATTTGACTGGAAGAGTTTGGCTCGGTTTCACGACAGAAAAGCTTGTTACTGGTCCTGCGAGCACTGACCTCGGTGAAACAGGTAAACGCCCAGTATGGAACAAAATCTTTAAGCCCTTTTTGACTCTTTACAAATTTCTGAAACTGCTAATTTCTTTTGTGGGAATCTGCCAACCACTTTTGGCCCAGTTCACAAAGAACAAGTTAAAATAGAGTCACCAAAGACATCAAAATACAAATACACAAATAATGCCTCATTAATGCCAAGTTGAATTTTACAGTCAAAATATAAGGATTGAGGGGATGGGAGTGGGGGAAGAGCAAGGAATAAAAAAGGGAATTCTAAGTCCATCTGAATTTTGCGAGCAACCCTCATTTTATAACAGTGCAATAAAAAAAAAGGAAAGAATACCAACAGTTTGGCAAGTGACAATTTCACCTGAGATTGAGTGTTTTAGGCAGGTCTGAAACACAAAGCTACTCGGTTTTCATAGTAGAAAGGCAAGAAAGACCAAACAACAAAATGCACAGTCTCGAAACATTGAAATGAAACCACTCTTCCCTGTAGCTTCATTCCAGGTTTTTGATCTGCTGCTATTCTACTACAATAGGGCTGCAAAAGAACAAACAGCAACAAATATTGGCTTGAAGGCATTTGATGTTTTAAAAGAAGCCACAATTAGGTCTGAGCTGAAGGTCAGTGTTGCAAGGCCAGCCTGAGAAGACAATACTGAGCACGTGCAAAGCAGGTACAGTCCAGGCTGTGTAACATCAGTGCATTTTGTCAGTTTTATCGTACACTGCTGACTTGATCGTTTAACTATGCAGACCTCAGACACTATCACCAGTTTGAAGCCTGGGGCCTGCAATCCACCACAACAAAAATAAAATAGCTGTAGAGACTGAATGGAATATGAAGCGCAACACAAGCACTGAATAATATGTGCAAATTTCAGATTAAAGGGGGATGAGATTCCCCCAGTAGAATGGTGTGAACGTCTTGACACATTGAGGCCATTCTCTGCTTTGGCTGCTTCTCTCATGTGCCACATGAAAAAGTTAACGGTTTCTTCAGGCATCTTCAGCAGCCTTCTGTCTAGGCCACAGGGTTTGGATTTGATTAGCAAAGCCTTTCTCTGTCCGTCCATTGTTTTGCTATAGCATCACTGGCTTTCCTCTTAACAGTTGAGTCTAGACACAGTCCTTGTGTCCTCAACAGTGCAGTGAAGCATTTTAAAACCCTCGCAAAAGAACAGTCTTCAAAGTTACTTGAAAGTCCATCAGCGGGAGGAACAGGGTCTCACCTCTCTATTCTGGTTCGACTGATCGGGATTAGGATCAACCTGGAATACAAATAAAATAAATAAACATACAGAAACATACCTATTCCTTTCACAATGCGATATTGTCACAGGTTTCACCAGTCTGAAGCTGAACAAAGTCTTAAGAACCTTTACTACTGAAAAAATATTGTAGTCATAATATTGTGACAATTAATATATCCACTCAGGCTTCCCCAACAGCTCAGTGAATGACCCTACCCCCACCCCAATCCCACCAATGTAGTAAATCATATAGAACATTCCTTGCTCTGTCACCTTAGCCACACTTAGCCTCAGCATCCCTGGGCTGACCCTGGGTAAGGGTGGGGGGAGAATCTATCCATTGACCCTTCTCATGCGTATGCGCATCTTGGGTCTAGACGAGCTCAGATTTGGATGCGATGCTCCACAGTGAAATACCACACTGATGCTCACCATCCACTCTCATATAGGAAGAATCAGATGGTAGTGCTGAGGTTGAAGGTGCCCACAGAACTATACTCCAGCAAGAATTAATTCATAGATCAACTTAATGATACTTCAAAGCCAAGCAAAAATTAAATGTTTCCCAGTAGTAAAGGGATATTATCGGGTAAAGGCATCGCAAGTTGCACTAAGCAAGTGAAAGTTGCAGGTTTACATTCTGTATGGTACTACGAGTTAACTGTAGTTAGATATAACATGGCAAAGGCCTAAAAACAGATCACCTGTCAGACCTCTTGTCTATTTGAACTATGTACAATGAAGAAGAAGAAACCAATTCCGAGAAAACTATGAACACCTTCAAATATTTCAGGTTCACATAGTTAGAAAATGCAATCTTTTTATGCGAATCACCAATTTTCTCCCTTCATGAATAAATCGGACTCATTTTTCCTTTTACTTTGGTTCCATGTGTGCTGGTTGCCAAGTGACTTATTTACATACGAGGCTGACAGTGAGTATTGACCAGCTGTCTGATCAGAGTGGGCATCACAGCAAACCAAATCATGTCCTTAGCTGATGTCTACAGACCTATACTTCCAACAGGGATCTACTGTCACCATCGGAAAAGGATGCCTCGCTGAATTTTTCCTCCCTAACCTGGGGCACTGAGACGAAACATAGATCCCCTTGTGCCGCTCTGTCTAAAGATCAGCCTATCTCGGCACAGATCTAAAAATACAACCTCAGACTTTATAATCTCATCTGTATAGCGAATAAACTCACACTGAATAATCTCATGGAGACATTGAAGAGCTCTCAATTCAATCAATGATCACTCTATACAATAAGCAACTCTAACTAATAAAACATCTCTATGTTCCCAAGACTCTTACCTCTGAATATACTGGTGGAGGCTGGTATCTAAACTCCTGGATGTAGGCGAACAATGGTCCCTCAAACACTCTTTCTAATTCATCTCGTACCGCTGCAGAAACTAGATTGTGCCGTCGTTGCTGTTCTGACACAATTTCTGCATAGCTGGGCGGTGCTGCAATAAAAATGGATACAGCTCATTATTTTCAATGAAGTGCAGCTATATCTGACTGCAATGATTTACATCCTATATTAAGAGATGAATAATGCCTGTAAAAATGATTTTTGTCAGGATGTATTTCTCACCTTCGGGTATTTCAGGCAGTGCGAGGCTTAACCAGTTCAAGTTCATGCTACACTGGCTGCTAACGCTGGATGTCCGACTACCGAAGGGATGCAAGGGGATCGTACCAATAACTAGTGGTAAATTAAGGAATAAATTCATCGCTCCAGGGATATCTACGTACACCTAAAAGGAAATAAAATAACATAACCACTTAGAAACTTTCACCAACACAATGCGGTCATTCTACACACCAAGTCAATTTTGTTTTAAACTTCTCCACTAAGACACAATGGCTGTGATGCTGGGATTACAGTTCCATGGATGGCAAAGGCCTCCAGTATCCAAGTAGTCATTTACCATATAAAAACCTGACCAGCAGATATTATCGGGCAATTTGGAGCCACCAGAGTCAAGTCAGACTCTGTCTTTACTCAATCTCTTCCAACATGCATAGAGCTTTAACCAGGAGTAGGAATTCAGCCTGATTACAATATTGCATCCTTCACCAAGTTTGAGGGAACTGAAGCTAACTATGAAGTTAGCCTGGGAGTTTTCTGATCTGTACAGCTCAACACGACACCAAGAGGCGCATTTATCCATTGAGCCACATCTGGGAAATGACCACAATTTCTCATCAAACATTATATTTCAGAAATAACATCAAGAAAATGCAACAAGGTTAAGATATAAAAATTTTACATTGAAGTAAATTTGTAAAGTGGCATTTAAAAATTGGACCTTTTTTTAATGCTAATAAATATATCTACCTTTCACATTTTCGAAAGAATAATAATCATCCTTGCATTTGATGTAGCATCTCATCTTTGAGATTTCTCAAAGCACTTCAAATGATAAATTGTAAAGTGGATTGACTGTATTTTGTGGGCAAAACACAGCAGCCAATTGCGCACAGCAATGTCCCACAAACAGTCATGGAGTGAGTGATCAATTTTATTTGAGGGATTGTTGGTCAGGAACTCCATTCTCTTTTCAAATAGTGTCATAGGATCCTCAACATCCACCTGAACAGGCAAACGTTCAGTCCTTAATGCAATGCAATCTTCAAAACAAGAAGATACTAAAGCAAATAGTGTGCTATTGCTCCCTTCACATCCATGCCTCCCTTCTCAAAATGAGTAACACCTGGCAAAACACATGGAAACAAAACCTTACCAGCAAAGGAGAAAAGGGCATTTTATGCAATTCCTCAAAATGCTTTATTTCAGAACTATTTTAAGCCTATAAACCACTGCCTATTGAGCCACCGTGTTCTACAAAAAAGATTTTGATTTGACTTTACAGAAACTGGCGATGTGGTTTTGATGATTAATCACAGCTAAGTTCCACAAAACCACAGTGCCACACTCAATGTCACACACATTTCCCAAAACATCAAGTGGATCTTAGATGCAGCCTCTGTCTATTGTTTGCAACTATTCTGGGGTGTGTAGTCTTCACGTCAATCAAGTTAACCTATCAGAAAAGTTGAGCTGAAATTCAAAAAAAGTGGATTTACTCAAAAAAGGATAAAAATCCTTAACCCTATCCACACAACACACACACCCATCAACACGCACCACACCCCCCCACCCACAAGCTGATGGGTTACCAAGTTCAACCGTGGGGTGGGGTTGAAGGTGATTATATACGAGTAAAATATACATTTTATCACAAGTTGCTCCTCTGCAAAAGCAAAGGCATTAAAAAAAAACACAGAACTTGAACAAATGTGGAAAATATAGGGGACATTTTTTGCAGCCTACAAGAAACAAATTGGGAGCAAAAGCCTGTTAGTTACTTGTTTTTCTCTTGTTGGACAGCTAGTGACTTGGACAGGTTCGCCATCTACCATACATAGCAAGGTAGCCAAGAAACCACAAAAGCAGCTGCCAAGGTTTATGGAATATGTGGAGACTACATGGAGTCCCATATCGTAGTGGTTAGAGGACACGCCTGGCAAGCAAGAGGACCTGGGTTGAATTCTCAGGCGGGGCAAAATCGTAAGAAAGTGTGTCTTTAACCACACACACACGTCTCTGTTTATCTAGCAATAAATAGGAACCCAGTTGTTAGTTGGTTGGTGGATCGCTTTCCGGGGGTAATACACCCTCAAAAAAAGTCACTCAATCCACAACTGTTTGTGGGAAACTGCTGTGTGCATTTGGCTGCCACATATCACCCACAAAATACAGAGTCAATCAATTTTGCAAAATATTCTGTGACGCGCTTTGAGACATCTCAATGACGTGATAAGGCACTATTCAAATGCAAGGATTATTATATCTTGAGCATTCCGATCAAAAGATTTCAATGAATGTGCTAAATTTGTGTGCGAGTGAGAGGGGGGCTGAAGAGGGGAGATGATATATGGAAATCAGAAGAAGTAAATTATATTAAGTCTCTCATGTGAAGTTCTGTCTTTTCCAACGAGACAGGAACTTTCTGTACTCCTTTGCACAATGTCAGGCAGGCAAACCAATATTCAGGAAACCAATTTACCATCAACGAGTATTCCACATGGATTATACTGCAGTCTATGATCGAGGGAGACACTGGTGGAATCTTCAGTAGTTTTCCATTCCAACTTTCTGTTTTTCCAGATGACAGGGATTCTCCTCGTAAGTTGGCTACAAGTTGTTTCACTTCCTTCATTTTGCCTTTGGCGTAGAAAGTCTGTGTTTGGTAAATGGCTGCCTTTGGCACTACCATGCGGGAAGAACAATTCTCAATTTCAGCAAATATGTGAATTGATTCACCTAAAGGAGGAGGAGAAAGGCATTTTTGTATTTCAAACAACCAAATTAAAAGTGACATTTTCTTCTAAATACGTCATGTCAAATAAGTTGATTTAACCTTTTTCTCAGTGGTCTTCAATATTTGTATTTTAACATGATGGGAGCATGATGGGAGCCAGTTGTCAATGGCACTACTGAACCGAGCTCGGGGCCTAAAATTGCTATCTTCATGCCAACTGTTTACTGCTCTGAAAAATCACAGGGAATTGAATTGATCATAAGAATTCCACTATCAAGGACTCAACAATAGGGTCAGAAAGATAATTGAAAGTGAATTGCACTTACTTTCTATGTTTTGTTTGGTCCCAGTTACGAAGGGAGTTTTAAAATCGCAATGTTTTAAATACTAATTAGATTCTACTAACAAAAAGTTTAAGGAAGCGTTTACTTCGGCTTTATCTACAAACTCTGATAATTGTCTCAAACACCAGGACAAGAAAATATCTTGTATTGCCCTGAAGGCAAGTGCTACAAGTGACATTAATATTTCATTAACACTGTTGGTGCTATACTTCAATTTGCAGTTGTAAAAATAATGCAAAAGCTACTGTCGTCAGTGTCAGGAGGGGCAAGTTGGGCCATTTTTCTTTACATTACTAATGTAGGGGAGGATTGTATTAAAAAGACGTGCAACTGTAAACTGAAGAGAAATTTGAAATGTTTTAATTTAAAAAAATAGAGAAATGGTTTATTAAACCATATGATCACCAGTGTAAAACCAGATAATCATCTCCTGAAGGAACCTCAAATTGGAGTTCAATCAGATACATGGACACGAGAGGCTCTATATTCCTTAGCTGAAGTGACCATCATTCATGTACAACTCTGAAGCATCACCACAAGATGTGGTTTCCATAATTGACTGTTGGGAGGCATTACAGCCAAGCTAAGTTTTTTTTACAATCCTGATATCAGCACATGTGCTTTTTTCAGCAGGGAATACTGGCCAGTAATGAATTAGTAGAAATCCTGGTTGATCATTTCACCTTTCCTCTGCAGTCTGGTAATATTGAGACCTATTCAGGTGCCCCTTGACCATCTAACTAGCTGAGATCAAATACTTAGCACAGACCAGGGATTGAATTCAGGACCTTCCTCATCTACTTGGCTTATTAGTACACTATGTCGTACATACTTATTGAGCCATCAGGCAGCCAATTGTGGTTCTATACGGGTTACTTCCAGTACAGCAAGTATAGTACTATGCAGCCCTCTAGATTTTTACCTGGTGTGTAGCCCTTCCGTTCGATTTTGGCACTTAGGGATATTGGGCCTGAGGAGCAGAACCAGCAACAAAGAGTTTTCTCTTTTGTGCCTGCCTGTGGTGACTGTAAAAGAACAGAAAGCACGGTAAATACTCCTGCTCCCCGTCAAGGCAGATAGTCTCTCATGATGACGGAAGGTGCCATATTAATAGCAATAAATTCCTGAAAATCTTTGCTACACATTTGGAAGCATAAGATATCAACGATTCGTACAGAGAATTTTAATGCAGGCACGTCATCAATACTGTAGAAGGCACAAGATTAGGCAATGCCACTCTCATTGCTGGTACCCAACCCAATCACACTCCTGTATTCCATCACATTAAATGAACAAGTTAAAAAATACTACCATTCAAACACCACTGATGAGAAAGGCTTATTTTGTTTGTTTTGAATTAACATGACTAGAAACAACAGTCAAAAATCTGTAAACGGAAACATCACTAAGAAAGTGTCATTCCTTCCTGCTGATAAATAGATATATAGAGCTATATATAATATAATAAAAAAAGTTGCATAAATTGTTTTGAAACAAAAATCTAAATATTTGTAGTGGGAATATACCCATTATAAAAGGAGGGAAGGTATTTGTGAAGACTAAATAAAAATCTCATTACATATTAAAATTACAAAGGTAACAAATTCATATTCACAGGCTGTCAAAGTGGCATAGCTATTTATTCCCTATATCTAATTTTCTCCTTCACATTTCAACTTCTCATCTTTCTGAAAGGCAGAGGCAGGAGATGGTAGTCCTGCAGTACCTCTCAACTTTCACGGACCTGTCCTTGCCTGGTTCACATTCTACCTCTCCCAGTATCTCCACTTTGTATCCACATGTATGAGGATGACACCCAACTCTACCTCTCTGCCTCCACCCTGAATTCCAGGACTACTGGCGTCCTGACCGACTGCCTGTCTGACATCAAGTCCTGGACGAGGGACAACTTTCTCCAACTCAACATCAGCAAGACCGAGGCCTTCCTGATTGGCTCACACGAGAGCCTCCGCACCTCAGGCGCTGGCAGCATCAGCCTCCATGGCTGCACACTCAACCTCACTGAGCCAGTCAGGAAGCTGGGTATCTTGTTTGACCCTGAACTGTCCTTTCTACCCCACATCCGCGCCATGACCAGCACTGCCTACCACCACCTCTGCAACATTGCCAGACTCCCCCATTGCCTCACCCCTCAGGCTGCAAAAGCCCTCACCCGACTCCACTGGCATTCATCACATCAAGGCTCAATAATTGGAACTCCCTTCTCATCGGCCTTCCCAACTCTTCCCTTCACAAGCTGCAGATCATCCAAAATTCTGCAGCTCATGTACTCTCGCGCACCAGGCTCCGTGACCCCATCACTCCCACCCTCACCCGACTCCACTGGCTCCCCATCCCCTAGAGGATAGAGTTCAAGATCCTCGTCCTCACCTTTAAGGCCATCCATGGCCTTACCCCCTCCTACCTCACTGACCTGCTGACTCCCTACCAACTGCCTGCTCCCTCCGTTCAGCGGGCTCTGACCTGTTCCATGTCTCCCACCCAACCTACCATCGGTGGCCGGGCTTTCAGCCTCTCTGCCCTCACGTTCTGGAATTCCATCACACGGTCCCTTCGCCTCTCTTCCTCCCATGCCTCCTTCAAGGCCGGTCTCGAGAGCCTTCTCTTCGATCATGCCTTTGGTCGCCCTTCCACCTCTCTGCTTTCCCTCACCCCTACACTACCCCTCCCCCATGCTCAGGTCCCGACACCTTACTGTTCAGCGCCTTAGGACGTCCCCCCGACATGAAAGGCGCTCTATAAGTGCAATTTTGGTGTTGTCTGCACTAACGGCTTGGTGACATCATCCGTAGACATGGGGTCAACTTCCACATGTATGCGAATGACACCCAACTCTTATTTATGCGTCTCCACTCTCGACTCCAGGACCACTGCTGTCCTCATTGACTGCCTGTCAGACATCAAGTCCTGGATGAGAGCTAACTTTGAGTTGAATGTCAATGAAATTGAGGCCCTCCTGCTTGGCTCCCATACCTCAGGCGCTGACAGCATCACTCTCCATGGATGCACTATAACCTCACAGAGCCAATATGGAACCTTGGTATCCTGTTCGACCCTCAACTGTTCTTCATTCCCACATCCGTACCATGACTAGCTCCACCTTCCCCACCTCCGCAACATTGCTCTGCTCTGCCACGGTCTCACACCGCAGGCTGCTGAAACCCTCATCCACATTCAGACTCGACTCCATGCTTGTCAGCCTCCCCATCTCCTCCATCCAGACAGCAGATCCAGCCCCGTGTCCTCTCCCACACCAGGCTCCGCAATCCTATCACCCCCCCACACATCCTCGCCCAACTCTACTGACTCCCCATTACTTGGGAGGATAACCCTTCCACGGCCTTGCTTCTCCCTACCTCCATGACCTGCTAAGCCCCTGCCAACCTGTACCCTCAGCTGGCTCCGGCCTGCTTCAGGTCCCCTGCCTTGCCTGCCCCACTATTGGCAGGAGGTCCTTCAGTCACTCTCCCCCATCTCTCCGGAACCCCCTCCCTTGCCTCCTTCAAGACCCTCACCTTTGACCATGCCTTTGGTCACCTTCCTACCCCTACCCTCCCTCGTGGTTCTAACCATAGGCTCAGGTGCAGATCCTAGACTGACATGAAAGGCACTATACAAATGTAATTTGTTGTTGTTGCTACCCTCTGGATTAAGAATTGTTGGAGGGGGTTGGGGGCAGGAGGAAGAGGAAGAGAAGGGATATTTCAACTTGGGAATTATCACAGATGAAAAAGCCCTGTTCTCAAATAAGCTGCACCCCTACACTTCTAACAATGGATTTCTGTATGATTATAAGAAGCAGGATTCTGGTGGATTCTGCCTCTCCATCACGTAGGGACACAAAGGCCAGCTAAGATTAACTAAATTAATATAGCTCTAATCTGTTATCTTTCTGGCTTCAATTGTTCAGTGCTAACCAACTGTACAGGCATAATGGGTAAATCAGAGGCCTTATCCAACAAGACATAGAAATGAGGTTGTCACAGTTTACACAAATTGCAGAGAAAAAATAGCAGAAAATTAAAGCAATTTGAAAGCAAAGTGTTTACACAACTAAACAAATTTGTTATGTATATTTTTTTCAAAACCACAATCATTTATTAGGTTTACAACTAGTCATATATCAGATATGTATTTGAATTATGTATCATCCTCACCTTCAAGGCTCTCCACTGCCTTGCCCCTTCCTCATTGGCCTGCTAACCCTTTATTAACCTGTCTGTACTCCCCGCTCAGTAGACTCCGGCCTGCTCCTTGCCCCCTGCCCAGCCTGCCCCACCATTGGTGGTCAACCCTTTGACCTCCCTCCCTTTGGAACTCCATCCCACAGTCCCTTCGCCTTGGTCCCTCCCTTGCCTCCTTCACAGCACGTCTCAAGACCCTCCTCTCCTACCATGCCTTCCGCCACCCTGTATCCTCCCTTACCCCAATCCCTCCCGCTTGTGTCCAAATCCCTGACTGTTCAGAGCCTTGGGATATCCTCCTGATGTGAAAGGTGCTATACAAATGCAATTTTGGATCGTATTGTGTAAAGCTTTACAAACTTATGAGGGCATGCAGGTTTCTTTAGCTTCATAGATTGAGCCATTTCATAAGTGTTCCAGTCTGTCTAGGACAATTTAATCTTATAAGAAGTGGCACAACTGGTATTGAGTTAAAGACACAGGGTTATATATTCAGTACAGGGATATGATTTGCCATTAATAGTCATGAATTATGCTGTTTAAGGATTAACAGTGGCCTCTGCTACAATTTACAATGAATCGTTTCATAAGGCATTTGAAATAGGTCTAAAAGTGTGCTGTCCATAAATAGCTTAGTGGAGGCAGAATGAAGAAAATATCTTCATAATATGAAGCAGCTCTGCAAATTTCAGAAAGTAGAGACAATGTAGACTTTTGATTGTAAATTTTTGTCATATACATTAAATATATATAGCAAATTTTTGCACCGTGTTCAATCTTTTCATAATACGTGCTCATCTGTGCACTCCATATATATGTATTATATATTATATTCATGAGTCATATCACCTTCAAGGTCCTACACGGCCTTGCCCCTTCCTACCTCTGTGACCTGCTAACCCCTTATCAACCTGTCCAATCCCTCCACTCAGCAGCCTGCTCCATGCCCCCCGCCTGGCCCACAATCGCTGGTCGGGCTTTCAGCCTCTCCAACCCCACCCTTTGGAACTCCATCCCACATTCCCTTCGCCTCACCCTCTCCCTTGCCTCCTTCATGGCACGTGTCAAGATCCTCCTCTCGACCATGCCTTTGGCTAACCATCTACCCTCCCTAACCACCCACCCCCCCTCCCCCACCCGTTCGGTTCCAAATCCCTGAACGTCCAACACCTTGGGATGCCCTCCCAAAGGGAAAGGCGCTATACAAATCTAATTTTGTATACCTGTAGTCTCACATTATTCCAAGAATTATAGCTATAATTGACATGGGCCCCAATTCAGCGAAGGATCGCAAATAGCTGTAATTGTTCCTTTGTTTGATATTTTTGCACAGCATACAAAATACCCAGAAATGAAAAGAACATTCAAGGACTGAATGCTGCCATGCTTTTTTTTTTTGCAGGAATTGTGAAATATGTCCACCATAAGCACATTAATAACATTGTGTTGAAAATATTTCCCTACCATTTTTATTTTTTGCAACATACACAACAAGCTGTTATGTTTGTGCACCTCTCATACAATCATCTCAAACCTGCTTAATGCTGGCTACGACTTAGAATAAAATATTCATAATTAAAATCTTGTAGTAATCAGAATCATTAAAAATATTTACTGAGACCTATCATTAAGTTCCAGGTTTCAAGTGGTGACAGAGTGAAGCACAGGCAGATACAAACAGGCCTTGAGCCAAAGTCAATAGGAGATTCACTTTCAGATATAGGGGTTTCTGGTATGTGGATGTATATTTTCTAATGTTAAAATTCCTGTCTAGCTGCTTATATAAATTTCTTTGTCTTACCACTGAAGTAAATTTAGATTGGGAAGTAAAATAAATTTATGAAATGCATATTTTCTGCTTTGCACCGTGTTCGATCATGATTAATGATATGATAATACATGTTCATCTGTACACCCCATTTAAAAATAAAATGGTTTATTGTACCACAATTACAGTATCTGCATCTGCTATTATAATGAAGCATTGTCTTACATCAGCTTCTCTCACGACATCTAATAGTTACTATGAATTTCATAAAATACAATAATCTACACAAACTTCATTCATAATAAAAATGTAAATCATAATCATTACATGTGATTATAACGCCTGTTGTGTCGGGAGGATGTCTCAAAGCACATCACGGGATTTACTTTTACATAAAGTGTAGTTAGTGGCTGTGTATTTTATAAGTCGACTTAGCAGCCAATTTGTGCACAGTAATGATCCACAAACAGCCATGACTTGAATGACCAATTTTATCTAGTATAAGCAATCTTTTTCTTTCATCTTGTCGTAATTCTGCTAGTTCAGATTAATGCCTTTGATCAATTGCATTACTAAGATATGAGCCTTCCCATAACATATTGTATCTAAATCCTAAAAGAAATTGGTCTGTATATGAGCATATTTGGGGAAACAATATTTCACAATGATGCAAATTACAAATTAAAGTGGAGAAATTCCACCTATATTTTACACAATATAGCATTTTAGAGGATCCCAATCTTTTTCAAATTCTTAAAAGCATCCATAGTTTTGAAGCTGATTCACTGTAAGCTCTTTTAACAGTAGCAACAACAGAAAACTAATCAACTTCATAGTTAAGACTCAATTCAACAATGTACCAAATTCAGATGTTTTAAAATGCAACACAAATAAAGAGTAAATCTAGCCCCAGGAGGAAATTCTTCCATAAATTTCTGAAATTACTAATTGTTAGTAATTCCAGTTTGCCAGTACTTACCAGCAACAATGGAGTGTTAATGTCAATGTGTTCAAAGACTGTAAATTCTTTCTTCATTTTCATGACCAGCATCCATGGCCTGTGCAGTTCGGCTTTCACCCAATAACGCACGCTGCCATATTTGCCTTCAAAGGAGGTAGCTAGTGGTCTGTCAGAAGGGGAAAAAAAGGCATTATGTGACATGGAAAACACACAACAGATAAGATTAGTGAATTTATCCTACAGAAAGGGTAATTCAAATAATTTGCATTATAAAATATCCAGATTGTTTTGTAGGTAAATACCAATGCCTTGGTTTCCTTAACCAATTCCTTTGTTTTATTATGGAATTTTCTTGAGTAAATATGTGCCATGTTAATTATCTTAGCTATTATTTTGCAACAAGAAAGGTTTTGCACACAGAATTGTTTTTAGCCAAATAAACAGAATTTAAAAAATTTCTATCACATGAAGAAGGAAAAACATAAAAGTATAAATACAATTTGGTGCAATAAACAGCACCAAAGAAAGAAATAACAAAATTCAGATCTTACGTCTGTGGAAGCTCAAAGCTGAAGGGGTATTCATGTCTGCCTGAATGGATAGTGGTGAGGTCTTCTTCTGAATTATCATCATCTGAAAAATGTTAAATTGAGTTACTGTGAAGCAAATAAAAAAGCAAATTATTATGGTTTTGCAGTATTCTTGGAAATGTATGGAACCCATACATTTCATGCATAACAAAATAAGGGAGAAAATCTAACTGATAACAATCCTTGTATTTATCATAGCGCCTTTTGACCTTGCCAGGACACAGTATAAAGCAGTGCGACTTGTGTATTTGTGGGCAAACAGGATTTAATTATAATATTGTTAAGAGTTTGTGCTGAAACAATACAGCTGGACTGAATCCATTGAATTACTAAATTGTCGACGTTTTGGATTAGACTATGGAGAGGCTTGTTCAAACTTTTTTTAAGATGCGAACAAGTCAAAGTTTTCATCATTAGCATTTTGCTGGCAAAGAGGACAGACTTTGCTTAAAAACAGAGTGAGAGCCAACGCTCCTAAGCATAGGACTGGAGCGGAGTACGGCATTGAGCAATTTCCTCCTCTGTATTTCACCCAGCAACAGCCAAGGAGGAAGGAGCCTCTTGTTACCCCTACAGGAAATGGGGAAAATACAGTAGGGCTGATTGTTTGTGGAGTTACTAGGAGATGTGAGCAGCCCTGTTTGAAGTAGTCCTATCAGCATCCACTGGGGCTCAACAAGCTCCACCCTGCACAGTTCAGCCTTTGGGGGATTTTAATTTTATGCCAAACAACTTGACCTTCCTTATTCTCCTCAATGACATGTTCTGGTTTCCAAAAAAATAATCCAGATTCCTTTTCGAAATGCCCCGATACAAAAGAGGGGGTAAATAAAATGTTAATAGCGACTTGAAGCAACCTGATGCTGCCTCTCATAACCGAGTAACCTTCCCAAGACTGCACCTGTCTTTGTTCGACTGGTTGTGGAGCCTTTGCAACAATGTCATTGCAGTTACCGCACAAATTCTTCCTTAAACGAACGAGCGACACGTTTGCATGAAAGCGCTAACATTATCAAACTGGTTTTATTAAACCAGTGCGGCTCGCCACTGCTAATACAGTAATATAAACCCCCCCCCACACATACATATACTCGCCCCACCGCCCACCCGGGCGAGGTACAATTTCCCACTGATTCACACAAAGAAAAAAAAAGGCGAAAAGTGAAAACGTAGCTTTTTTTTCTTAAATTTTTTTGAAAAAAAAAGGTGTAACATTTGAGAAAAGAAAGCCTTGGCGTAACTTTGTTTCCCTGCAAGTCTCTCTCTCTCTCTCTCTGACTTGGGTTCATTGCCTTTCTCTCTCTCTCTCTCTCTTTTCTGCCAGCTCAGCACACAGGCAGGGCTTTGCAGCAGGAGCGATAAACAAGCAGCGAGCTGTCAATCAGCGTCAGGCAGCGCCTGAGAGCGGAGAGAGCCGGCCTAGAGCGGAGAGAGCCGGCCTGAACCGGCAGGAACAGCCCAGCCCAGCCGCATCCACATGGTATTCATCAGCAGCAGACAGGGGCGGGGGGGGGGGGCGGCAGAGAGACCCACATTGGGTCAAATCCCCAAATGTTTTTTTTGCAAAAAATATACAATACTGTATATATATTTATATTTTTTTTACAAAAAGGATATTAACTCTCTAAAGGAATTGCTATATTTTTCCACTCCACCCCCTCACACACATATATATATATATACACACACACACCCCTTTCTTTTTTTGCATCGACACATAACGCTCTGGTGCAGCCACATCCTGCTGAAATGTCTTAACATTTTAATATTAAAAAAAGACCCATGTTATTATTTTTAATGCACACAGCCTTCTTCAGTGCATTGCAAATTGCGACTGCAATGTTATATACAGACACAACTATATACCTCTGTAAACCATTAAGATACAATGTATTTAAAACGTTGTAGAGAGAGGAGAGAGAAGGGGAGAGTTGAGTTGGCCACTGTCATTTTTTTTTAAAAAAAGAGAAGGAATTAAAAGGGGTGAAACAAAATCTAAAAAAAGTGTCCAATATAAAAAGCACCACATTGCACAGAGTTGATGCTGAGCAAAATGCTACATTTTGCATCAATACCAAAGCCATGTAGTGCTCGATTCCTCCCAAGTGAGAACCATGTTTCGCTGCGTGAATACTTTCAGACCATTTTCTTTTTTTTGCAAAATTGCTCCTCGAGAGAGAGATAGAGAGATAGGGAGGGAAGGGAGGGAGAGAGGTTTGAGGCTGAGTGACAGTTGCACTGACCAAATAGCAGTGGGACAGCGCCTTAGCAACAGTCTAACAAAGCCCCGGCCCCTATCAGCCGTGCGAGGAGGGGCCACTGCAACAAAGCTGTGCTGAACGGCAGCAGAAACTTGGGCAAGACATATTATGCAAAACTTCATTTACCAGAAGGGGAAGAGGAGAGCGAGAGAGAGCGAGAGAGAAAAAAAACAGTTAATAAGGGACAAACTCGCGAATGCATTTTTATATAACGCAAACCTTGGCCGAGGGTCCCTGCACTGTCCCAAATGGTATTATATTTAAAGCAAATGTATGTCATTTGTACATGGGAGGGGTCTGCAGTGGGTCCAGGTGACTAGTGCTTCCACTGTTAGCTGGACATGAACTGAAGCTAATACACATACTATATATATAGTATATATAGTATGTTATATATAGTATGTTCGCCCACAAATATACAGTCAATTCATTTTACAGTGTGTTCTGTGAAGCGCTTTGGGACGTCCTCCCGACGTGAAAAGCGCTATATCAAATGCAAGGATTATTATTATATACACACACATATAGATACTAATATATATATATGTATGTATACACATACACTTGTATAATATTATACCGTCGATTGTTTGACGTTGAGAGTCTTAACACTGTTAATATGTGCAATTTTTGTCCTGAAGTTTCCACACCAGAAATAAGGCTTCATATATAGCGGAAGCTTTGCGCAAATCCCGAGTGCTGCGTTTCAGCACAGCAAACACAGATGCAAAAACCCGAACCCACGGTAACTTTGCTCGAAAGGGTCATTTCAAAGGGAGGGAGAAAGAGAAGAAGAAAAAGAAATGCATTTTGTGGGGGAATATACGGTGGTGCAAAGCAGCTGTTGCAAGTTGTTTTTCTGCAAAATAGCATTAAGTCATCGTGATCATCTGAGGCTGTAGACCAATGAGCAAAGGGAAGATTGGGAGTACTGGCCCCCACTCCTCACCACCCCCCCCATGCTTGTCCCAAACAGGATTGAACCGCTTTGAACAAAGGGTGGAAACTTAGGAAAACAAGTCAAGCCTTTTCTAAAATCTTACTGAATGTACAATAGATTTTATCACAATAGCCAGGCACGCGATATGATATGCAGCAGCAGAACCATTGGGGGCGAAAATATACTGCATAAGCACAGAATGCACAAATCTGGATCATCTTCCAGCTCAGATACATGGCTTCCCGAGGAGGGCTGAGGGGGGGTAGTTGACGTTTAATGTACGCCAATCAACCTGAGGTTTGGTGCCCCAACCGGTGCAAAGGTCTGGCATCGAAATAAGTCATCTTTGCAATGTTTGAGATCAATTATTACGGCCGTGGAAGGTCGATTTCAAGAATTTCTCTGGTGGTTATAACCTGACCACTTGGGGGGGGGGGGGGTGGGGGGGGGGGAATCAAGGACTTCTTATGGAAGCCATTGCACCCATGCAGCACTATATATATATATATATGTATGTTACATACACTACCTAATATATATGTGGTTCTGTGAAGATATTCAGGCATTAATTACAACAATGTAATTCACTGACTTGTTCGTCTCAGTGGCTAAACACTAACCCCTCGATGAAGTTCTGAGTGTCTGTATTTCGACAGTAGCCCTAAAACTCTTAACCATCGCATCAGATCACAGTACACCATTACGATCGTATCATTGGGGGACAAAAGGGTACACATAAAACTGATGGGGAGGATCGATTATTTCTTTTTTTTTTAAAAAAAAATATCAGCTTGAAACGTGCAGGAAATGTGCTCAGAGCATCAGCCCAAGTAGCCAAGTGTCTGACTGACACAAACTGGCAGTGAGAGGTGATCCACACCATCCTGAACTTTTACATCTATAAAGTTGTGCCGGGCTTCAGGCGCTTTTATTAACTGTGCGGGTTCATATAGAGCCAATGCTTTATATATATATAATATATATACATATATTAAAAATTCGCGAATAATTCACTGGCCATCTGTCCTGGCTCAGAAGGATCTCTCTCTCTCTCTCTCTCTCTGGATGACAGCAAGTTGCACAGTAAAGTTGCACGACACAAAGAACCTTTTTTTGTGTGTGTGTTGGGAGCTTCCAGCAGGAAGATGCGTTTCCATGAATTTTTATGCACCATATATTATTTAAAGGGGGGGGTGGTGGAAGGGGAAGCAGCAGCAGCAGCAGCAGCTTTACTTACCTCTTTCGTGTCCGATTAACAGGTCTTTGTGGTTGAAATACTCTACTTCTTCGGTGTAATTCTGAGTGTAGGCGGTATTGGAACCGGCGTTTCTCGACTCTGTCCAACGGACTTTCGCGTGTCCTCTCGCGTGGATCTTCAGAGATCTGACCCTGATTTCACCAGTAACTTCTATGATAACCCGTCCAGAGACCGAGTCTCCACTGGCAAACACGGGGATATTATTCTCGTTAGGACAGTCGTAGCTTATTGCAAAACTCTTCACCTTTCCCAGCACCATGGTTTGTTTGCAGGATGATGTGCTTGTCTTTTTGGGTGGGGGAAAAAAAAAATTCTACACCCCCCACCCCCCGCTTCCCCCCAAAAAAATGAAGAGGTTGGAAGGTGTTGGGGAGGGAGGGAGAGAGGGACTCACCCACTGATCAGTGCCTTGTAGCTGCGGGAGCGATCAGGGGAACGTTAGGGAAAAGCATCTGCATAGCCGGAGAGGAGAGGCTGCTGTCCAGCTTTTAGTCTGTACAAAAGACGGGGATATCATACCTCTACCGCCTCACTTAAAACCGTTTTTGTGAAAAACAACCCCAGTGCGCCTGTGCATGACTTCACTCTGCTTCCGCCTTGAGAGTGTGGAGCTGGTGCCACAGCTGATCAACAGCTGATTCAGGTCACTCCCCCCCCTCTCCCTCTCTCTCTCCCTCCCTCCCTCCCTCCCTCCCTCTCTCTCTCTCACTCACTCACTCACTCCCCGAAGCTGCCTCTCAGCTCCACTGCAGATGGTGCTGGTGATGGCTGCACAGCCTCTGTGCTGCCTTTATCTCTCTCTCTCTCTCTCTGTTTTTTTATTTTATTTCAGGTGCTCCTTACAGGTTTTTGTTTCCCCCCTCAACACACACACACACACCCCACACACAGACCCCCCCACACCCACACACAGACCCCCCCCAACCCCACACACCCCCCCACACACACACAGACCCCACCCCACACACACCCCCCCCACACACACACAGACCACCCCCCCCACACACACACAGACCCCCCCCCACACACACACACCCACACACACCCCCACACACACACAGACCCCCACCCCCACACACACCCCCCACACACACACAGACCCCCCCCCCACACACACACACACACACAGACCCCCCACACACACAGACCCCCCCCCACACACACACACACACAGACCCCCCACACACACAGACCCCCCCACACACACACACACACAGCCCCCCACACACACAGACCCCCCCCACACACACACACACAGACCCCCCCACACATACACACACAGACCCCCCCCCACACACACACACAGACCCCCCCCCACACACACACACACAGACCCCCCCCACACACACACACAGACCCCCCCCCCACACACACACACAGACCCCCCCCACACACACACACACAGACCCCCCCCACACACACACACACAGACCCCCCCACACACACACACACAGACCCCCCCCACACACACACACACAGACCCCCCCCCACACACACACACAGACCCCCCCACACACACACACACAGACCCCCCCACACACACACCCCCACACACACACACACACCCCACACACACACACACACCCCCCCCACACACCATCCCCCCCCCACACCCACACACCCCCCCCCCACCACACACACACACACCCCCACACACACCCCACACACACACACACACAGACCCCCCCCCACCCCCACACCCCCCCCACACACACACACAGACCCCCCCCACACACCATCCCCCCCCCCCACACACCCACACACCAACGCCATTTCCCCAATTGTTTCACTCAGAGGTTGTTGTGAGAAGACGTTAATTGAAATCGTTGCTCTCGCGTACGCACAAGACACGTCTGTCTCTCTTTTCTCAGCCTTAACGCCTCTCTGCGGACTGTTGCAGCCACACGGCATTACCGAGTGCAAACACAAGGAACACAGCGACTGAAACTCTTGAGCACAGCATTTCTATTTATTTTATTTTATTTTTTTTTATTATTTTTAATTCGGTCCGACTATTTGAGAGACGCTCTTGATTTATAATCGTAGCCATTAAGACTTAATAATAATAATAATAATAATAATCCTTGCATTTGATATAGCGCTTTTCACGGCGGGAGGACGTCCCAAAGCGCTTCACAGAACACACTGTAAAGTGAATTGACTGTATATTTGTGGGCGTATATTTAAGCACGAAAACAGCGAGACATCAGCTGTTATTAATTTCTGGGTTGCAGGAAAAATAATCCTTCCAACAACGTGGAATGGGTAAAGGCCACCATTCAAGTCTTTCCAATAACTTGGCGACATCTAGTGGGTATGCGAGGCAGTAAAGCACATGTTAGATCTTAAAATATGCAGGGGATTTCCTGTGGGTTTTTGTGAGAATCATCTGAGAATTGTTTTATTTTACCTAAAAACAGTAATACGGATTTGCGGTTCCCTCCAGTTAAGCTTTATGTTTCTTTTGTTTTCTCACCCACTTTGTATTCATATATATTTTTCAGGTTGGCAAGGCCTGGGGGGCACAGGAATCGGGGTACCGCTGGAGTCTAACCGGTTAAAGGCACGCCGTCGAGCCCTTGTGAGGGTCGGCAGGTTTAGCAAGGAACATCACCTTTTAGGGCTTTGATTTGCAAAGTTAACAGGGTTGGAGTGCAAAGAATTCCAGCCCAGTGACTGTGCTTCTCCAAGTCATGCTAAGAAGCCAGGTGGCCAATCTGTCATCAACAGAACTTGCATGGCTCAGAAACCAGACTGCTGAGACAACCACAGAGGATTAACTCAGTTCTGATATTCCATTGCCAAGCGTGTCACCTTGAATCAAGTAGTGACATAGTGACCCCACTTACCTCCTTAAGGAGAATGGTCACTGGACATCTTAAAGATTATGTTGAACATATTAAATGGATGATTGGACCCAAAGCAACTTTACAGTGGCCATTGGATTTAGTTAATGGAGCACTGTTTGCAGATACTTGCTTAACCCTATTTTTATGTTGATGTATGCCAGAATCCCACTATGACCTGTTGACTGGCAAATCCAGTAAGTGCTGTGGGCTGGATTTGTGATGCCCTGGCATTGGAGAGGATACAACAAAGACAATTAAACCAAAGCTGAATTTAAATATCTGATTTTTATGAAAATAGGATATTTCAAAACTGGAGAAGAAGAGGCTGAGGGGAAATCTTACTTAAGTATTCAAAGGGCAGCGAGAAATTGAATCCTAATTCTATAAAAATGACAAATTATATTTGTATAGTGCCTTTCACATCAGAAGGATGTCCCAAAGCACTGGACAGTCAGAGGTCCCCACCGAGCTGGTGGTGGGGATCATGAGAGGTAGGGTGTAGGAGGGTGACCGAAGGCATGGTCAATGAGGATGGTCTTGAGACGGGTCTTGAAGGAGGCAAGGGAGGGGGCGAGGTGGAGCGATTGTGGGATGAGTTCCAGAGGGTGGTGGCAGAGAGGCCAATGGTGGGGCGGGCGAGGCGGGGAATGTGAAGCAGGCTAGAGACTGCTGAGCGGAGGGAGTGGACAGGTTGGTAGAGGTAGGGAGGAGCAGGCTGTGTAGGGATTTGAAGGTGAGGACCAGGATCTTGAACTGTATCCTCTGAGTGATGGGAGGCCAGTGGAGCCTGAGCCTGGTGTGGGAGAGGACACAGTTCTGGGCTGCAGAGTTCTAGATGATCTGCAGCCTGTGGAGGGAGGAGTGAGGGAGGTTGACAGGCAGGGAATTTGCGTAGTCGAGCCTGGATGTAATAAATTTTTGGATGAGGGTTTCGGCAGCCTGCGGTGGAGGAGCTAGGCAATGTTGCTGAGATGGGGAAAGGTACAACATGGGGGATGTACAACATGTTAGATTAGCCACAAACTCTACAATAGCAAATACATTGATTGAGGGTTTAAGAGCGAGAGTGTGATATTTCTTCATAACCTTTTTAAAACAAGTGGACCACACTGGCCCTTTCAGTCTTGTACATACATATATTCCGAATTTGGAACCAATAGAAAGAAACAATTTACTCGATTATTTCACCATTGCTACCTTTGTGTCCTAGTCTCCTCATCCCCTCTTCTTTTACCCACTTTGGTAACATTCCTCTTGCTCAGGCCAAACATCCTTCACTCCGTTTGCCAGTTGCTGAACTAAGGCGAGCAAAACTGGCAAATACACACCGATTTCAACTGAAAACTGGGAGAAGGAAACCCCAATTCTATGGTAATCATGCAATTATGATCAGCTGAATTGCAAGTTATGAGTTGGGTATGTGGGATCATGAAAATAGTGTCTAATACAGCAATTGCGGAGTCAGGCTTATGGGACTGGAGGGGAAAGGGTTTAACAGCACTGTACTGTACTTTTAACCAACAGGTTAAAGACAAAAAATATGTCGCGGTGAGAAAAACTCTAGGTGGCAATTCTATGCCCAAATATCTATTTTTCTAGTATGAGACAGTGAGTGTCAGATGTTTGACCATGTGTAGTCCAGTCCTCACTTGACAGAAACCCATGTTTACTTTCTGGAAGGGTCATCAGATGGTGATCAAGAATTGGGACCTTGGTTAATTGTTCCCTTTCTAACCCAGGACCACTGAAGCCCATTGTATTGCTCCAAAACTGCCCCACTCAAAACATTTAACAGGGTGGCCGGGGTTGGGGGGGCACGTGATTCAGCCTGGGACATTCTGGTAGACATCCAGAACAAGTGGATACACATTTAAAATTAGTTAATATTGTTGAAAGTAAACCAAAGGTTGTGAGGATGTGGCACAAATTGACAAATTGTCCTAGAAGCCTGGAAATTGAGATTTGATTTGCATTGTTTATAAGGGAGATCATCATGGGTGAGTTTCAACTACTTCCCAACTTCCCTCTGGAACTCTCTTGAAATCTCTTCACCTGGCTTGCCTCTCTGTTTTCAAATCCTGCTTGAAGACCTACCTCTTTGCCTGTTTTCGGCTACCTATCCTCTGCCTTCCAGCTCCTTTCCAGCTTGGGTTTATGTTCAGACATTGTAAAACACTTTGTGATGTTCTCCCAATGTAAAAAATGTTATACATATGCAAATTTGTTATTATTGAAGTAGAATATATACTTGGGAAATAAGAGTATTATGCATATGGACAAATTATGGAAAATAGAATAAAAACAATTGGAAGGGTTGCCAGAATCCAATAAATGGTGAAAAAGGCTTGGTTCATTGAACAATCTACTCCCATTACTATGCTTCTTCAGATTCTGTTTGGATATTTTACTTTGGCAGTGACTTTACCAATATTTTCTCTATTTTTTCTCTTACATCTTTCAAAATTGCATTCATGCATAACTGTCATAAGAAT